ACCTGAAGACAGGAAATAAATTGTTGTCTTAAAAGGAAAAGAAGTGGGCAATAGTTAACCAGGAGCATTTTCACCTGAACAGAGACCTGATTTCTCTCCCTTGTAGTTGTGTTCAGCCCCAAGTACTGTTCAGCTGATTGCCACCTTCTCTGGACAGCAGGAGCTTCAATCATTAGTCTCAAATAACTCTCATTGTGTTGGATTTGAGTACCTCTATCCATTCAAGCTGATAGCAATGGAAGTGTAGAGCAAGGGTTAGTGCAGAGGCACTGATCAGTGTCTCTTCACAACAGCTAGAGACCATTTATGGACAGAGGGAGAAAGGATGGTCCTTCTTGCATTAGGCATGGCAATGATGCACTATCGCACAGCTCAGACACTTTTGCATGGCACAGTGAAAGGAACAAGCAACTTGGAGAACAGAGCTGTACATGCCTATTTCCTCTGGTGGGACTTTTCACCAGTTGAGTAAATGTGTGTTCTAATTGAGATTGAGATTCTTGGGACACTCATAACTTCTTTTTTCCATACAGAATTGCTGGTGTCCAGCTAGCATTGAGATCACACCAGAGCCTTTCCCAGGGTGCATCACTAACAATCTCCTGATCTTCCTGCACAAAGCTGATGAGATTGATCAGAGAGTTTCAGCTTTAGGTGAAGAGGCTGTAGGTTCAGAGTTTGCTCTTTAATGGGAGACTAGAAGACCAACAGGCAAACACAATATGTGATACTTTTACTTTGTTTCAATGGAAAATGGAATTAAAAAGCGGCTTTGTTTTATGCTACATTTTGGGTTCATATCATGGAGCTAGGCGATGCCCAAAGCCAAGCCTGTTAGTTCTTTTTGCTGCTTCCACACTGGAAACAGTGAGAGAAGCTTGCTGGGCCAGGCACATGTTCTGCAGCCGATGAAGAACAAAATCTTCACCTGCCAGAGCAGGATCTGTTCAGAAGAGATGGAGCACCCATGTGACACTGGACTGTCCTACTGTGGGGGCTGAACGGGAAGAGAGAGGCAGGGTGCACCTCCAACAAGTCAACCAGTCTGTCTGCTGTATGGGGCAGTAGGCCTTCAGGAAAATGCCAGTGGAAGCAAAGATGCAAACAAATTGCAATTATCTGACAAATCAGTTCTCATGCAGTCTTTTTGGGTCTCAAACAACAGAAGAAAAAGACCCTCCCCTCCCAAATTAAACAGTAAATGTTCCCTTGCCACACGACTCCTGCTTTTTGTTCTTGCATGAAGTGAACATATGCAGGGGTCCTCAACAACTGGGCTGCTGCACCTGGTGCACTAGAGGGGAAAAATAAGCTATTGAGTGAATTTTTATGGTGATTCAAAACACTTTCGGTAGATCCTGTCATATGCTCTCTAAGTTCCTGACTGATTGTCTGGAATTAAGTTATTGGTCAGAGACTCAGCTAATGGAAACACATTGATGAAATCATCTTTGAGGGACATTAAATGGAACTTAAAATAAAGCTGAAATGGCTTTATGGATTTTTCAGTCAAACTGTTTATGAACATTTATCGGCGGTAAATTACACAGTGTCAGAAGAGGTTATCAGTAGGTATGGCTTCTAATAGAAGGCTCCCTGATACAATACTATGGGAAAGAATAATTTATTATCTAGAAGTGGACAGTACAATATGTTTAAATATAAATTATATGATTGTTTTCTCTTAACTGTCTTTGGCTGCTCATAGGTAAGCTAGCTTTAGCAGCAGCAGAGAGTCTCACAAGGTGAAAAAACGTGTTCAGCACTCTGCATTGAAATAGAAGTTTTATATTATGCATTGTAAATGTTTTAATAACAGAGCTCAGGATGCAGAAGCTATGTTATTTAATAGTAAATTTAATTTACATTTGCTTTTGCTTCATTTTCAGTAAAGGGAGAAGAGGTACTCAGTAGCTTTGACTGGGAAACAAGGCTGTAAAACCTAAGTCTTTAGCTATTGGAGTTGCACATTACTATTCTCTGACAAAAGCCAGTATTCCTAGAGAACAGTGAAAATAAGACATAGGGAGTCCCAGATTGGAAGGTAACTTTTGGTCTAGCAAATTTTGTCCTCTGTTTTTAGCAACCCAACATCTGATAGTTGTGAACTTGTCAAGTCAGCTAGGTTGCCTGTCTCATTTACTATAATGGGAAAGCAGCTCCCATCTTTGGTCTTCTGGTGGCTATAATTCATGTACTGTCCTTCCTAGATATATTTGGGACCAATGTTAGCCACTTGTTCTCCTGCCAACATTGGCCTAGAGCCAGAAATTCCTTTTCCTTCGTGTTACTTATCCACCCGAAGTATTTGTACCAACATTAATATTCCTCACCTCCAATAACCACCCTAGCAATCATATTGCTAGGCTAAAAACCCAAGTCCTTCCAGGCTTCTGTGTGCTAGGCTTTCTGTTGCTACAGTCATCCACTGGTTCCTCTCTGCATCTGTTTCTGTAACAAGGATTAGCTGGCAGCTGTGTGGTAGTTCAAGGATTCTCTTCTTAAAATAATGTTTGCCTTCCCTATGGCTCTGCTGGCATGAACCACGCTTAGGCCTTTTTCCACTGACATTCCCTTCCAGGTTTCCAACACAGAGCAGAAATTCTTACTCCTTTCTAAGCCCACTTTGTATTTTTAAATTTCACCTTCTATTTGTTCTACTCTCTAAGGTCACTCAGTTACTCCTCCTTTGCATCCCAGTCTGCATCTGCATAAGTGAGCAGCCAAATTCACTATCAACGGCACATTTCCTTCTAGCTTTCCTTCCTTTTGTACCAAGGCCCTTAATGAAAATAGTGAAGGAGGTCACTTGCACCAAACTTGTGGCTTCATTTTGACCGTAGTTCAGTGTCGATGTTACTGAACTCTGGCCATGGAATCCCATAAACGATGAGGGTCAAATTTTGACCCAACTGCTTGGTGTAGTCGAATATACCCAAAACAATTGTTTTAATAATGATGCAATTCCATACAGCAGAGGTCAAGACGGATTATTCAGCATGACAGAGAGAGTATGAATAGGTGTGGACACATTTAAGGTATATAAAATTTTAAGTAGTGTAAAATAAAGTTTTAGAGTAGTGTAAAGGGAAAGGAAAATAAGGAGATGGATGAAAGGAATATCAGGCTTTTTTTTAGCCTTCGCAAAAACACTGCATTGGCATCATCAGTGGCTTTGTTCCCGAAATTGCTTCCTGCATTTAAATTAAGTAACAAAAGCTTCTAAAACTCCAAGTCATTAGAAATACACAGAAGTTTTTCCTTATTCTGCGGTCATTTCTTGTTACTTACAGCTTGTTATTTTGGTCTTTGCATAATACAGCTAAAATGTTCGAAAAATGAATTACAAATGCCAGCATAAACAAAGTCCCCTTTTAAGCAATAAAAGTGTAAGAGGAGCAAGAATATTTATGTGTACCTCTGCAGCTGCTTTTTCTCATCTTCCTCACCTCAGAAATCATTGTTTTATTATGCAGATGTGTGCAGGCTGCTTTTTTTTGCTAAGTTTCATAGCAAAGCTAATAACCAGGGCAGTTGTGTGGATAAGCAGAGACTTAAATCATTTGGAAACCATTCAGAGAGGACAGATCAGATAATAATAACCTTCATGGTTGGCAAGTTACAGCTGCTTTTTACAACTTGTAACGATGAAAGCTTATAGTAAAGATAAGAGCTAAATATCTATATTGAGCTAGAGGATCAATTTCAATTCCCAAACTTTACACTGCTTTTATCATCTTTGAAGTAACTTTGTTTTTCTCTAGGTTGAAAAACAGGAGTTATTTTTGTGCCGTTTTTGTTAGAGTGTTTATTTTCATTCTGCATTTTTCTTAGTGCAGTAGGACAGCTTGGTTCATTTACCTGAGCGTGAACAAAGCAGAGTTTTGTTGAAGTCACAGTGTTTCTCCATTATAGCATGAATTATATAAGAGGAATGTTGTGTTTGTATGCTGTACATCATCTCAAAATACTTTCTCTTCTATACTAGTGACTTCTAGAGTGCACACAGGTAAAAAATATAATAGCACATATAAAGAGCTGTCTCAAGTAGGATAAGTAGAAGGTTCTGAGGCAATAAAAAGTCCAGAATATCTGCCTCTCAGTGAATGATTCAGAAACCTGTTACTATTCAGCAAATCAGAGAGAAAGTTGACATGATTTGGTCACAGTCTGTAAATATTCAGAGGGTGCAGGTTTGTGTTCATGCAGGGTCTATTGTCTCACACTCAGTGACATGGGAATACTTAGCAGATGAATTAGACAAATTCCCATTAGTTGCACATTTTTAAATTAAAACAATCAGACATTTTAAATCAGAAAGGCTTACCAGAAATTGTCATGGACTGTCTTTTGCTTAAAACAATTAAACTGGTAGAGTGTATCTTTCTGAAAAGACACAGCTTGGCTCCATCACAGTATGCACAGGACCTGGTGCAGGGATGGCTGGGTGGAAGTGCCCAGCCTGTGCTATGCGGGATTGTAGTGGCCTGGACCTCAGGGAAGCTTAGTAGTTTTGTTTGTGCAGTATTTTACAGCTAGAGATCTAACAATACTTGGCAAATGAGGGTAGTGCTGTTTCCCCACTATCTCTAAAAGAACAGCAAAATGAGGAGAAATTAAATGACTTCCGGTCACGCATCAAATCTGGCTGAGTCCAGGTTCATAAATGAGGGATATAGCCGGGTTCGGTGGATGCTTACCAAGGCGGATTTTTTGCAAGCTCCTGACATCAATTGTGTCAGCCACAACTTCCCACACAGAAAACAAGCAGCTGCTTTTACAGCCGGAGGTGTGTGCAGTTTACAGGCAAATCCTAGTTCTGATCAAGGCAGCCAATTTCAAGTGAACGAGGTCTGGCTTTTCTTGGGGACAGAAGTGATGTGTACAAGACAGAAATGGGTCAGGTGATGGGTTAAATTGTGCCTAAGTATGATTTGACAATCACTCCCCTGATAACAGCTTATAATGTTGACAGTTTGTCTTTTGTTTTGTGATTTCAGGAGCAGAAGGCACAGTGTTCCCTAAATCTATAGAAACTCCCAATGTCAGGGCAGACCCCTTCAAGGAACTAAGGTAAACTTTGGAATATGATTTAAAGGTAACTTGGTGGCACCTTGTTGAAATTGTGCTGGAAGTCATTTCTGCATATAATATGACTGAGAAAATCATGTGTTATGAGAGCATCATTTCTCCTCTGTAACATACTCAACTTAACCTTGGGCTCAGCCTTTGAAAAGAAATAGAGAAATCTTTCACTGGAAGAAGAGGGAGGTTCTGGGATCTGTGCTAAATCACAGGGAGTAGCAGCAGATGTAGGGCTAATATTCTGGCAGAATTACCTGTCTCGTGGAAATAAAACCTGTCCAGACATACACAGGGTCTAGCTGTGCATGAATGCCAGTGTGGACACTCAGAGAAATATTACTTGCTGACAGCAATGTATCAGAAGGAATAAACAGCACAGCTCTTGAGAATCAGCTTTGCTCTCAAGCTGGGCATTATATGTTTACATATATATATGTATAAATGCATATGTGTAAAACATCTTAAGTGTGGCCCTGCAAGCTGGTTTGGCTGGATAGCCTCTCAAAAAGTGAGCAGTTGCCAGTGGCCTGATAGCATGGCCTAAAATGTTATTGACTAACTGTTCTGAAATCTTCTGTCCTCAGGGTTGTAGCAGTTGCCACCAATGCTCAAATTATCCTTGCTTGAAAAGAGATGAAAGGGGGAAATGTCTCTGAAAGGACATTTTGTCGCTAGGTCTTTGGTTGCAAAGACCTCTTCCTTGGAGACTGAGGATGAATGTCTTAAGTCAGCTCAAGTTGTGTCTGAATGCCGCAAGTTTGCAATAGATGGACTGGGTAGGAGAGGTCCTCTCTGTTCTGGTCCTGGGGATAGTTATGGCCCAGAAAGATCATAGTGTAAAATAAAGAATGTCCTTCTTGCCTTCTCTTGAGTCTGTTACTATCTCTCACTTTCTGTCCAGAAACACTCTAATCGTTTCAGTTTTGTACTCCAGGGGATCACGTTAGATAAGAAGTGCAAAGGTGTTGTGATTCAGTTTGTTATGAAAGTTTGTTCTGTTCCTGTGTGCAGTGATATTAAACCACCTTGTCTTTTTTACTGTCTTGGTATACTTTCTTTTTTAAAAAAAAAAGAAAAAAGAAAAACAGTCGTTGCTCAGCCTGCCACACCTCGTCTTATGTAGCTTCAGTTTCTCCTGTGGTGGAAAAGTCCCCCAAAAGGGAAGAGTAGAGAAGTGCAGGGCACATGCAGTCTCGTCCATACATGGCAGGCAAATGAAAAAGATTTTCAGTGGACTTGGAGATGTGGTTTGGGAGACAAAGGCTCTCTGATACAGCCCATCTTGGCTGCCAATTTAATCCAAAAAAATCTAAGTTGTGGTTAAAATATGCAATAGCATCTAATTAATTAAAAAAAAAACAGATTCCATATTCAATAATGGTTTAAGTCTAAGTTTGAATTTACTTAGATCTTCTTTAAACATGGGTGGGGAGTTAATCCAAATAAATGTAGTGTCACATTAAAGGGGACAAATGTGAATTAAAGTGGCCTTAATGTGATTGAGTATACTTCTGTTCCAAAGAGAATTAAGCTAAATGAAATTGAGATCAATTAAAGGCAGTATCCATACAAGAATTTTATTTGGAGTATTTAATCTGCTTTAAATTCATACTATTATTTCACTTGTTCTGTTAGAGAACTACTAGATAAATTACTTCCTCTGAAAATAGTGGACTATTTAAAAAAAAAAGCATTAAGGAATCTGGTGAGATTTTTATTCTTTTCTAAGGAGAAAGACAGTGAAAATAAATAGGATTTACTTTGCAAAAAAGGGTCTAGAAAGTCCTGAAACATTTGATGTGCTTTTGAAAACATTATCTCTTGACAAAAATAAAACGTGTCCTCCACCATCCTGAAGAGGCAAAAAAGCACTGGTAGTACTGTGTAGAGAAAGCAAAGTTTGCCAGGAACAGCATGCTCTACTGCTCCCCAAACCAGGCAGCGTTCAACCCTGGCACTCCACACACACACAGGTTTATTGGAGCACTGACTGCTTCTTAAGAGTGAAATGATGGTGGAATGATACCTTTTTGATGCAGTACAGAGTTCACAGAGGAAATAGTCCTACTCTGGGGAGGCATTTTCTGGCACTGTCCTGTCTTGATAGCAGTGTGTGCACATAAGGTGTCATTTTAGCCTACTTAAAAAGTTACTGCGGTAACATGGGACTGAATGAGATGACAGTTTGTGGGTCCTGAACTGCTGTGCACAAGCAGCACTATAAACATGTGCTTGGTAGCCGATTTGACTCTGAACGGTGTTTTCTGTAATAAGCCTTTCTTTTCTCTTTAGGTTGAAACTCCTACAGTGGAAAATGCACAGTCAGCTATTGCAGGCTATGGCAAGGCGCTTCCACCTTCCATCACTCTTCCTAGAACAAACGGTTGAGATTAGTTATGTGGTTTATCCATTTGCTCTTTTCAGTATCATATTGACTCTCACTTTTGCTTCAGGAGACTCAAAAAAGAGGTGACAGCAACTGTCACTAGCAAAAAGAGAAGAGGCAAAACTGCTCCTGTCACCACTGGGAGTCAGACCATCTGTACGTCTTCTTTCCCTTCCTCCTCTACTTACCAGACAAGCTGATTTTCCCCTTCAAGATAGGCAATGTGCTCTAGTGCCAGCCATCTCTGTTTCTTTGCTGCTGCTTCTCCCATCTCCCAAATGCTTTCAGCCTTGCCCACGTCTCCTGAACACTGCTGTGTCCCAAGTGACAGCTCACACCGTCTCTCAGCAGATTTTCTGTCCCCTTCTAGCTGATGAATGGTCTCCAGTTCATATAGCCTAATTCATTTATTAGTAGCTGACTGCTTTACAAGTTAGTCACCTCTCTAAGGAACAGACAGGTAGCTGTCCTCTGTAGTTATCAGCAAGCTCTGTGTGGTCCTCTCTTCTGAGTGTTCTTTCTAAAAAAAAAAAAATGTGTCTGCAATCCTTAGGGGGAAAAAAAGGGGGGAAAAGTGTACCTAAGCTTTTTGTCTTAAGCACTAACCTCATCAAAAAGCCATAATGCTGCAAGAATTGGTTTGGTGCTTGTTTGACACCAGTCTGGACTTTCCTGTTTATATTTTTCAAGAAGTTTTCAATGATTCTCTCCCATGCTATGCAAAGGCGTATGAGGTGCATAACTGGGCTGAAAAGAATTTTAATTATAATAAGAATGTGGAAAGGTCATTGCTGTTTTCTGTTTCGGATCTAGGATGTTCCTTACTAATGACCTATGAGCAGAAGTGGTTGAAAACCTATTTGATATGTTTTTGTGAACATGTTCAAGTTTTTACTCTTTCAAAGTAATTTCAGAGTCCTGAGAGTTTTGACAGTTTTTTACTGGGTGGGAGATTGGTCAAAAACAGCAAAACGGCAAACAAACTCAAATTATCTACAATTTTTCTTTAATTGTGTAACATTGCCATTCAGTAACATCCCAAAATAGTTCAGAGGCAGAGCTTGAGAGATGGGATAAGTTTTAAAAAATATGTGGTGATCCTCATTGACTCTTCGCAATTCTGGCTGTTGTTGTGACATAGCTTACGGTGAGTGCAAGGTGTAAAGGTAGGATCCAAGATACTCTCTTCTCTGTGTGTTCCTTCTGTGTTTTAATAGGGCCCAAGTATTTTAGTAAGTGTCTGTCTTGCAAGGCTTCCCTTCCCTTGATCCCTACAGCAATCGATGACGTGCTTTCTTCTTTTTATCTTCTTTCAAAAGGCAAGCATAGGCCAAGGAAGCTAAGAGATGCTGTCTCTCTGCCAAACGCCCAGTCTCTCTTTGCTATTGACACATACATCAATGCCAGGGATAAGGGCTGGACTTGCTGAGGATGAGTGAGAAAGAAGTAAAATAATTTGGGGGGAAAAAAATAGAAAATGGGTCCAATATGAGAAATATGAGTGGGTCATTTGCTTGCCACGTGGATATGACTTTGTGAGGTCTCAAAAACTTCAGGGCCTCTCCTGACTCCGTGGTGGTGCCGCGGGGTTCAGCTTGGACACGGAGTCGTTGGGACACAGGCTGCCTCCTTCCTCTGCTCCTACGTGCAGAGCTAGGGGATCCCCAGTGTCCCCTGTGCCAGGCACCATATAGATGGAAAGCTGTTTCCCTCCAAATGGGTATCTCTACAATTGCACAGTAGACTGTGTAACAATTAGCTGAATGGGTCTGGTTTAGGGCATCTGTGTCCCCAGAGTTACATAAAAAGAGATCAGATAGATAGAATGAAATTCCTTCTGTGAGGAGCAAGCACAGACTGGAAAACATTCACAATTACTGTAGGTTAAAAGAATCCAGTAGACGGCTCATCTAATGCCAAGAGACTGAGGAATGACTGTTTTTCCTGTAACATGAAAATATAGTTAAGGGAGAATTAATCTCTTGGGTTTGAAGGGGTAATTTTTGTCCAAAGTTAATTATGGAGCACTGAAAGTACCAAATGGCAGATGAAATGCACTTGCTGTTTGATTTTTATTAGTGCAATTCTATCTTACCATGTACCATACTGAACTACCCAAATAGTCCAAGTGAGACCCATTGTAGCTAAAAGCAGTTTAAATACAACGCTCAGCTAATATAACAATTCTCATTTTGTAAAATAATAACTTTTATGGAATTAAGGTTTCTTTCAATTGTGTTTCACAAGTCAGCAGAGACATTTTCAGTAAGTAGGAACATAAATAATGTTTTTATCTAAAACCCATTGCATTAATAAAGATTAACAGAACAAAAATTAGAGGAAATGCAAAAAAAGAAGGTACTGAAGAGGAAGTAATTGGTTGGTTAAGGAAGTCATTATTAAAGGTTATTTTACAATATTGAAACATAGTTTAGTTTACACTAAACACATGAGGATTCCTGTCAGGTGCCAGCAATGGGAAAATGATATGTACAGCCTTGTATCTAGCTGATGTTATTCTCTGATTGATCTGCCAGAAAAGGTGTGATTCTTTTTTTGTATTGTTCCATTCGATCCCCAAAATCTTCATAGAGTCGTCCCA